TGGCGAAAGGCCCAGAGGCTGGTGAGTGGAGGGAGCTGTATGGTAGCTGTGAGGAGCAGCTGCGGCTGGGCCCTGGCTGGAGAGAGGGCAGATGTCAGATGGCAGGCCTCTCCAGACCTTGTGTGCTACCTTCAAGAGCTTGGACTGCTCTGCAGACATTCTAACCCCGACTAGCTGCTTGGCTCACCCTTACCAACTTGCTTTTTGATGTCGGGGCAATGGTGGAAGGGTTCTCATAAGCAATTTTTGCAAGAATCATTTGGAATCTGCGTCCTCCGGCTCTGTTTCAGCCCTGTTTTTCCTTGCTGAATGTGCCTGAATTATTCAGTGCTCCTCCTTGGATGCATTGACCTAGACCAATGGGGATGGTGAACCAGGAGGTGCTGTCCATCCTGTGGGCATATAAGAGCCAGTGCAGGATACAGAAGGGTCAGGCTTATCTGTTTGCCCCCCTCTCAGGATCCGGGGTGTGGTGTCACTATAAAAGATGTCTTTTTTTTCTTTTAATTGACTTAGTCTCCATCTTAAATAATTTATGTTGATTTAGATGCTTTATTTCTAACAGGGACCACAGGATAGCAGAGTTAATATTAGAATGGGCCAGGAAGAAAAGGGAAATGGGGAGGAAGACAGGGAAAATGTCCTGCTGAATAATTAATCTGACATCTGACACCTCCTTCCCTAACTTCTGTCCCTTAACCCCACTGTTCTACTGTTTCTTGCCATAGCATCTGTAACAACATTCAGTGATATCCTAAAGTCACATTTACTTGTTTAACTTGTATCATTTACCATGTAGCTCACTCCCTGCTAGAACACAAGCTCCACCAGGGTGAGGTTGGTTCTGTCTTTTATTTACTGATGAATCCCGAGTGTCTAAAAAAATGCCCAGCACATAGTAGGTGCTCAGTAAATATTTGTTCATCAATCAAATCCTTGGCTTCCATTTCCTCCCTGCTCGGAGTCCCCCAAATCTTTGTTTCCTTAGTCTTTGGGCAGGTGGGAACATCAAGTGCAATGCCACCCTTACTGTACTGTACCGACCTGTGACAGGTTAGATATTTTTCAGCCCTATGGTTCTGCACTTGGGAAAAGTAAGCATGCAGTCTGCATGTGTGTACATGTATGTGGGTGAGTACAGCTTTAAAGTGCATGACACTTTATTGTTTATAGAGCAGACACACATGTGCACAATTCTGGGATTGATATTTTGAGTATTTCCATTTATAGGTGGAAAAACCGAAGACTGCATTCATTCATTCATTCACTTTTTAAAAAGCCAAACAAATATTGTTGAGTACCTCATCTGTATCATATTCTGGTTATAACATTAAATGCTAGAGAATGGTTCCCAACCTAATGGCGTCGTTCAAGGTCACACAGCTGCCTGAGGGCATTCTACTTTTTCAGCCAGGACACTTTCTGGAGCTCTGCACACCTATCTGTATGAGGGTCCTAGGACAACCATATGAACCACCTCTGCGCAGAGAGGGCTGAGTACACAAGGAAGGTGGATGTAGGGGGAGGTGGGGGCTAAGATACACAGCCAAGTCCAGAATCCCAGAGATGGACGGGACTTGGAGAGGCCCCATCTCCTAGCCCACGCATGAGACGGGCTCTAAACTATCCTAACCAATTACCTTCTATGCCTCAGGCCCCACACAAGTCTTGGTTCCAGTGGGAGATGGCCCATTTTCCTGAAATAGTTGATGCAGCATATTGGTCTCCTGACTGGAAGCACGGCGGTTTGGTAGCTGGACAGTTCTCTGATATTTTTTTTAAAATTAAAAGAAACCCTCATCTCTCCTTTTACAGGTGAAGAAACAGACCTAGAGAGGATGAGTGATGGCACCAGGATCACACACTGGCTACTGGTGGGATCAAGACTCTTGCCTCTAAGTCTGCAGCGCTTTCTGTGATACCAACACTCCCGAGTTGATCTGGGGGTGGAAAAATGCCAGTCGACCTGGCAGCTCGAAAGCGAACTAGGGTTCCCTGTCTTCCTGCTCTAGCTTGGCGACCCCGGCCCCTTCCCCCATCTTTCTCTCATTCTTCAGCTCCCTTTCTCTGCCTCCCTGGGTAGCAAATGCTCAGCTCAAAGTCGCTCCTTGCCTGATTGCATCTGAGAGCTGGAAACACAACGCTAATTAATGTGTCTGTGACTCGAAGCTTGGCCGCTGGGCTAGTCCCCATACCCTCCCTGGAGCCCGACAGGCCCTGCAAAGTGGCCCTCCGGCTTCTCCAAGTACGGTGCCAGCAGATGCATATTTTAGCAATGCACATCTGTTGGCTATATAATCTCTCGTATTTGCCCTCCTCACTTGGTGCTTTGATGGAAGACCCCCGGGGGCTTCCCTCTGTTCTAGCCAAAGTGTTTGCTTTGCAATTTTGCCGGAATACCATCTGATTCTGTGCTCACATCTTCTGCAGGTTCTAATCAGGCTCTTACTTTATTTAATTAAAAATCTATCTCAGGCAAATACAGACTAGATTAGGAAGCTCTCTCACTCCTGGAAGCGGGAGAACGTAGCCTCCCTTGGGGAACCGGCTGGGACATTTTCCCAAACTGAGATGTCACAGCAAAGCAGATGGGGTCTTGGTTGGGAAGGAAGCCAGCTGGATCAGGGTGCACAAACACCTCTGTCCCCCTTGTGGAGCAGCTGCGCTGGCTTCCACTGTTGCAGGACTGGGGCTCTCTTTCCAATGGGCTGGATTGGCTTCTGCTTGTAGGGCCTCCTTCAGGGAACAAGGTGAGTCCCTGCACCCAGAGAAATTCAACCAAGCAGAGCCCTACAGGACCAGGAGCAGGGAAGATTCCATAGGACTGGTGGGTGGCTAACGAGTGGGGACAGGGAGTCCACCCCAAGGAGTTAGGGAGGACTGCTGGCAGATCCTAGTGCAGCTTTTTTCTTTTGCAATTGGTTTTGTTTGCTCAGGATGAATGATGTTTTTGGAGATGGCATGACAGGCCGGTAGACAAGATGCCCACTCAGCCTCCCTTGCTGGCTCTCAGGAAGTCTACCAAAGGAACCCACTGGGCCCTGTATAATCACCTCTCCTTTAGCTGATCTCCAATTTGCAGGAATGCCTCCCTCGAACAAACCCAGTTCTGTTCCCAGAGAGCAGTATCAGTGTAGAGGGAGATGTGACCCAAGACAAAGTCGGGTCTGTTCACATTGCATCCTGAGGCCTTGCTCTTAACCAGTGGAACAGATGACATTCTGCTGGCATCTGGGACCAGGAGATGGCAAAGAGCATTGGTCTGGAGTCGGGAAATGTGGAGTTGATTTTGAATGTTAATTAAGCTGTGTGACATCCTTCAAGTGTCTTTGCCTCTCTCAGTCTCTGTTTCCTTATCTGTAAAACACATGGGAGAATTTGGACTTTTAATGTGTTGGGCATTGTGGCTTACTATGATAGAGAAGAGAAAGGAAGGGGTCACACTTAGCTGATGAGGAGGCTGGTGCACCTTAAAGAGAAGAGGGTTCTTCATCTATTCTAGATCCCGTGTGAAGTCAGAGTGGGCAGTACTCAGATTCTGCTCTTTCTAGCACTCTCTGGCCCTCTCTAGAAGGCAAGGCAGCAGAGCAAGATGTTTGAGTATGGGAAGCTGAACTGTTTCTGAACATGAAGACCCTGCGATTTTGCTTAGTGAATCTGTTCTGGCATTTTGCAAATCCCCAAGTCAGAAAAAAAACATGAAGTCCTGAGTCCTTCCTTGGAGGAAGGAGAATGGCTGTCCTCCTTCAAGCATCCCTGGCTGCTCCTCCAGAGGCTGCCTGCAGCCAGGTTGCCCAGCCTTTGACCTGCTAGAGGGTTTACTTTTCCATGTCTTCCTTTGAAGGCCACAATAGATTCCAAAGGTAGAAGAGGCCTGGGAGTGGCTCTGTCACCCCTCCCCATTTCAAGATGCCCATCTCTGAGCTGGTAAGTGGTCCTCAGGGTCCCATCTGTTGCTCTGCTTGAGAGTCCCTGCCCCAGTGTGTTTGGCCATGTAGATCTGAAAAGTACCAACATGCTCTTAAGTATTTCATTTCTGAGCCGCCGTGAGCCTTATCTACAGGACACAAAGCAGCGCCCCAGCTGCCGACCTATTGTCAAGCTTCTGCAGCAGCTGCTAAGAGGCCAGCAGCCTGGGTTCCATCTTCTGGCTGCCCCAACCTCCATCCATATGTGCTCCTCTATGAGAAGTCCCAGCCTGGAGACCATGGGCCAGACCCTCTGCTTCTCAGAACCTCAGTTTCTCACCTGGGATAACAGCCCTTGGTTCCCAGAATAGCTCAGAAAGAGCTGAGGTGATGTGTATGCGAGAGCTTTGACAGTTGCTGTAAACCACAGTGCAAATGGAGCTATTATTACTCCTGTGCCAACGTGCCTCCCCACAGCCCTGAGTCTCTAGAACATCTGGCCAGAGGCAGGAGATGACTGGGGCTGGACTTCTCATCAGAGAGAGGCAGTTTGTAGGGTCACCAAGCAAACCCATTCTTCAGGCAGGTCTGCTGAGTGAAAGAGGGGACACTGAGTGAAAGACCCCGGGGAAAAAGCATGATTTGGAATGAGGCCTGAAATGGATTTTCCTGTGACTGACCTGAGCACCAGGATTCCCAGGGAGAAGGTGTAGGGATGGAACACAGGTCACTGGTAATTCCTCATGGACACTGAAATCAGATTGGGGCTGGTTTTGCAGTGGACATGGGCAGACATATGGCCTGGATCACATGAATAGTTCACCTGGGAATCCTCTTCAGCTCCCTAAGGCACAGTCACCCACACTGAGGTTGGACAAAGTCATAGGTTGGCCTTGGCCTTGGGATTCCTGAGGCCAGGAGCCTTCTCTTGTCCCCTGTGGGTGGGGAGACGGTGAACAGTGGCTGAAAGCCAGTGCGACAATGTCCAGAAGGAACCCCCTCCTACGACCTGGCTGGAAGGACTGCAGAGCTGAGCCCTTGGTGTTTCCCACCGGTGTTTCTCATCCTTGACTTGCATGTGATGGCTCTTACCTAGCACAGTAAGACGTGCAGGCCGGGACCGGATGGCGGCCTGGATGGCCTGGCACTCATACACAGCATCGTCCTGCAGCTCTGCCCTCAGGATCTTCAGGTGGTGCTCCCCTGACAGGTGGTTCCCCACCACCAGGTACTGGGGGTAACCTGTGGGGAGATAGCAGGTGGATGAGGGAGGCCAAAGAATCCTCCCTCCCTAAGTTACTTCTTTAGCCTAAATCCAGGTCGCTATTTGGAGATGCTGCAGACACCATGGAAGGGCTCTGAAAGGCTGTCTCTGCGAAAAGAAATGTACATTTAGTAAACAGGGGACAAATGGCAGAGGCTTTTCTGTCTGATCCTGCCACCTGCCTAGGAAGATCTTTTCACAGAGGGAGAGACTGTGGGTCTGACACCTGGCCTAGACAGAGATGACCACGGGTGGCCTTCTAATGACGGATACCTGTGAGGCTTGATCTGCACAATAAGACAATCTCTGCTGGTGTATTTCATCCCTTCTTCTTCCACAACTTGCATCCCATCTCCTTCCACCAGCCTCAAGGCCCTGTTTCTTTCTGTAGCTCAAAATGCTATTTAAGCTTCAACTTTCCGGTTCTTCCTTTGAGCCTCGTACTTTGTGTAGCTCCTGTGTTTCTGGGTGTCAATACACTTGTATATGGGGTTGGGGATTTAGCCTAGTGGGCCCGCCTGCCTCGCAAGTGCAAGGTCCCGAGTTTGATCTCTGGTACCCAAACAAAAACAACAATAATACACTTGTATGCCTTTATCACTTTTAATCTGTCCACTGGCAGTTTACTTCATGGGTTAAAACAATTGGATCTGCAGAGGGAAAAGAGAAAATTTAATATGTTTCCCCCCTGTGTGGAGGAACATTTGGAACAGACAGGATAGCAGTGGGGGCTTGGGAAGGGGTTGTAAAAGCCAGAGCTTCGCAGGGTATGGGGCAGTGTGTGTATATGTGTGTGTGCGTGCGTGCGTGTGTGTGTGTGTGATATGCTACTGTTGGTTTTAAGTTCAGGATGACGATTAGAAAGGAAAGGAAGGAGACACAAATAACTAATTGTGGTCAGATACAGCGAGCTCTGGAAAGTGCTCAGGGCCTTGGTCTGCTAAGTAGATATGCATCATTCTGATAAGAAGACAAATGAGGAGGAAGAGAAATAGAGAGGCCAGCCTGGGAATTGTAGAGAGAAGACAGAGTAAGAGAGAGAGGGAAGGAAAAAAAAGAAATATTTGGAAAAGAATCAAGAGTGACTTTTAGGGCAAAGTTTTGTCTCAGGGTGGACCACAAGTAGAAATCAAGGCCCTGGTGAACTTCTGGGCACTTTGAACCATAAACGGTCCTTTTCTAGTTACTCCTACTACCTACCCATGAGCCCCAGGGCCTGATTAAGCACTTATGAGATGCTCCGGACACTTAGGAATTTGGGGCCCCTTCTACCACTGGTGATGAATAATATATAAATAAAAGTTTGAGTATGCTAAATCATTAATCAGCTTTTCTGCTGCTGTGCAGGGTTGAATATAAATACCAACTTAAGTCATAGCTGGCCAGGTGGGGCTGTTGCTCTCTTTCCTGGGTATTGGGCCCTAAATCTCCTTGGTTTGTCCTGGCAAGATTCATTTCTCATCCCATCTCTCACCTGAGCTTTGTCTTGCCCCAGTCTCTTGCACTATGGATTTACAAGAGGACCTCTGCACCCATACTTTCTCCTGATCCTGGTCTCCCTCTCCCATCAGAGTCCACTCTGCTTTCATCACCCTTTGGCAGCTCAGACGGCTGCTCTTTCTGCAGGATGTTTACCAGAGCAGTGGGAATGTTCAGAACAAGCCATAGGAGAAGGAAGACAGAGGGAGAGAGAGGGAGAGTGAGAGAGAGAGAGAGAGAGAGAGAGAGAGAGAGAGAGAGAGAGAGAGACAGACAGACAGACAGAGAGAGAGGTGGGCAGTCCCTTGATTCTTGGGGGGGTCAGATGTGATCCCAAAGACAGCATTGGCACCTGGCAGCATTAGCAGCAGGAAGTAACTTGAAATATCCTTAATTATTTCAGGTGTCCAAACAAAGATCTCGGTGGGCTGCCATAAAGGATAGTGAAGTCCTCGTCACTAGCTACCTTGAAGCAGAGGTTGGATGATCACCTCTCTGCTGCAAGGATGATTTCTACCCTGGATGAAAGACTGGACTGGGAGCACTCTAAGGTCCTTTTGCCTCCCTAAGCTGAGGGCGGCTCAGAGGTAGGGTGGGGCTCCTTGGGGCTGGCTGTACAAGGGGCCACCAGTGCCCATTTCTGGCCAGTGAGGCAGGGTGCTTTGAGCCTCTGCCATGATGCCCAGCGTGCTCTGCAGGTGTTTCTTGTATGGCCAAGTCTTTCATGGCTGCCACTCTCTTCTCCTCGTGGCCTTATCCATCACAGCTGTGCAGGCCTGGCCAGAAATGCTCAGAGGGCAGTAGGCTGGCACCTGTGGGCATTACCTCTGTTCCTGCCATTCCTGCCACCTTCCTGCCCCGTGATGGGCTGGGGGAAGGAGGCCAGGTAAATGACACTGGCTCTCCCTGCTCTGGGTCTCATATCCCCCAGCTGCAGCTGACGCCTACCCCGCCTTCCAGGCTAGCCTGGATCCCGCTGTCCTGTGATTATTTCCTTGTCTCCTGCAGGCATCTTGGCTGGAGCTGGTGTTTTTGTTGTCTTGCAAGCTATCAGCAGCAGGATTTCGCTCTCATGAGCTGCTGAAAACATCAGTGATGGGTTTGTTTGTATTTGCTTAATTAGGCAGCGAGCTGTGATGCTATCCCTAGGACTGGCAGCATCTTTGGAAAACAGACTCAGAAGCATAGATTCCGGGACTTTCTAGCTCCTCCACAGTATCTATCATTAATCTCTGTCTACTCCCAAAGGAGGCCAAATTATCTGGAGTGTGGGTTCTCCACTCAAATTGCCTGGGTCCAGTGCCAGCTTATCACTCCCTCGCTCTGTCATCTTGGAGGAGTTACTTTAACTTCATGTGCCTCAGTTTCCTTATTGGTAAAATGGGGGCAATGCAGCTCACAGGTGAAGACCGGTTAGGATAATCTATGTAAAGTGCCTGGCACAGTGAGTCAGTCATCTATAAATGTCAACTTAATAAAGGTGGAGGGCTCTGTCCCTGCAAAGGAGAGCAGATGGGGCACAGGGACCATTTAGGGCTAGCAGTTAGGATTCTACACACTGGGATTAGTTATCTCACGGAATCAATTTCTTTCTTGACTGTGACTTTGTTTACCTGTCAAATAAAGGGAAAATCCTTTTCTCCCTCTAGATGATTGCAGATTTATGAGATAATATCTGAGAAGTACTTGAGCTTCTTAGGAGAAAAATGTTCTATCCAGATGAGGGAGCATATTTATAAATCGTTTTCTTTGACTGGTGTTTCCAGTCTTGGTGACCAGAGGGATACTTGGGTTCTCGGTGAGGGCAATTGTTTCTGGTGGACTGAGTGGGGTGACATGGTTAAAATGCAAGAGGACAGAGCTGCAGCAGATGAAGTCTTGCAATAGTGGGCCTGTTTCCCTGTAGGAAAATGTCCTTACTATTAAGTGTCCTGCAAATACTTGCTGATTGCACTGAGCTCTGTTATGTTCCCTCCCTTATCAGCCAAGCAGGCAGTATTTATTAAGCCTGTAGGTACCTATACTTATTGCTGCCTGGACGTTATTTGGGGGACAGGTGACCAAGTACAGAGCCAACATTTCCCAGGAGTTTAAGCTTACTGGTTGAACAGACAGAGGGCTTACCTTCCTTCTGTAACTAGTGTCCAGCTGGAGAGGAAGCAGCTTATCAGAGCTCCATGTTCTTTTTAGCATGGAGCAGGCCCCAATTCTGGATCCCAGAAGCTGTTTATGGGCAGTTATCCATGCCACGATGACCACTCTGTGAACTGTCCCTGGTGTTGTGGGACTGCCTCTGGGCCACTGACCTAGCAAGATCCCTGTTCTAGGCTGAAAGCTGAGAACCACTAACTCGGAGTGAGGCAGCCTCTTTAATTAGCAACAGGCCAACTTCAGAGCCACCCAGAGCACACACAAGTCTCATTTGGGAAGGTCGTGATGTTCTCCTTGTTTCTCTAGGGTAAGAAAATTGAGTGTCTCTGAAATTGGCTGGTTCTCATAGCACTTAAACTTTATGGCAGCCCAGTATATTTTGGAGATATTATTGTGTATTTTATCCATGCTCAGCTGGGCTGCAGTATTCAAACCCTATGACTGCTATTGACCATCGCTATAACATTTCAATATACATTTTTGGCAAGACATAACTCACATTTTAAAATATTAATTTCCCAATCATCATGTTCCTGAGTGCACTTCGATTTTTATTTTCCTGCAGCTGTACCCCACGAACGAAGCAAAGCTACTTCTTAGTTGAATACATATTTTTCACTCATCTTCCTCGCTCAGCCATTCCTAAACCACCCGGGAAGGACACCCAGACTTGTCCTTCTGAATTATGCCATTTATATCAAGCTGAGCAGCCAAATACCTACCCACCTAAGGGTGGAAGTCATGACTGATGGGGAGTGACCAGGAAGACTGTTCCTTCCTCTTTTCTCCCGGGAAGGATGCATTGGAAAGGGGCTGTACAGAGAGGCCATTCACAATAGTTAACACGTGGCATCAACCAGGGCATTCAGTGTTTACTGTGGATATCTCCTGTGTTTTCTTTTTTCCCATGACAAGATGACCCCTATGTTCAATCACATTTCTTCATGAGTTGTTGGTTTACTTGGCTCCCTTATTAGGTGAGAAGCTGGATCATAACTTGATAAATGAGGGATATATTATGGGCCAAAAAACAAAAAACACTTCATTTCTGAAAATCAGACTGTAGGTGAGTAGTGTTTGACTTTGGAATAGATTCTCCAGGGTGACACTATGCTAGGTTTAGGACTCACCACAGGAATGGAGGATTTACTTGTGATCCATTACTTGCAGTCAGAGCCCCTTAAGCTCTGGGATTCTAGACCTAGCTGTCTCTGGCAGCTGCAGGGAAGGCTGGAAGTTTGGTCTCCAAACACCTGTGACAGAAGGTGGGTATTTTCTAGGGAGGGGACTGCAGCACTGGGCTGCCTGGGGAGTTTGGAGGTACTCACTCGAGAGGTCTCTGCCTACACCCAGGGCCAAGCCGTCTTTGATCCACAGAACGAAGCCATCATATTCGGGGATGGCACATAGCAGCGTGACCGGCTGTCCTGACACCACCACTTGGTCCTGGGGCTGCTGGCTGAAGGAGTAGACTTGGCCTGGGAGGGAGACAAGCACAGTGGTAAGTTCCATGCTGGGAGCAGCGCCTGTGGGCTCCTCTCAGCTTCCTGAGGCAAAGCTGAAGCTGGCCCAGGGGACCAGGCCTCCCCTTCATGCCCCACTCTGCCACTTACGCTGAGACTTTCACCCCCAGGTTGGCTCAGTCTGGTTCTACCAGCCCCTCTGCTCATCATCCTTGTCATGGCACTGAGGACCAACCATTCCCAGTCTCCAAGAGGCCACCCAGCCATCCTGGGGAATGTGTCCCTGCCTTTTCTTTGGGTAAACTCCACTTGGGTGGTTTTAATAAAAAAATGGGACACAAGATATCAGAATATAGTTTTCGCTGCTGCAGGCTGGGCCTAGGGCCAACCCAGGAGTGTGGGTGGTGGTACAGAATAACAGACACGCTGGAGGCAGCTGCTGGCCAGGTGTTGCTGCATCTTCCTGTCCCTTGCTTTCCTACAGCAGGCCCTCTTCATTCTCTCTTGGGCATCATTGGGGGACCCATGACTCTTATCTGTCTCCAAAGCCAGGTGGCTGGAACCACCTCAGCTATTAGTTCATATTTTATTAAACCAACACCCTCATGGTGAGAACAAGATGCCAGGCCCTGGGATAAGGTTTTCAAATATTAGCTCATTAATATTTTCATATTCATAGCAACCTACTATTTTTATTCCCATTTTCAGGATAAGGAAGCAAGGCACCAGGAGGTGAGAAAAAGTAATAGGAGCTGTGCTGATGAGAGACTTGTTACTCCTGGGTGTTGTGCCCTCACTGTGGGTGTGACAGTGAGAGCACTCAGTGGTTGGTGTCAACCCCACCCTGCAGGGGTTGGGAAACAGGGTTTAGGGGCTGAGTGAATAACCTAGGGGCTCCCTGGGTGCAAGTGAGACTGTGGATCCACATCTTCCTGGCCCTAAGTGCCATTTTCTCACCCTCTGGGCTGTGTGCATGCCAGTCCAGAGGCCTGGTCCTGGTGGCTCAAGCTGCTAAGAAGGATGGTGACATGGGCCTTTTTCTCTGAGAGGCCACAGGGTGACAGGACATTGACATTCGCTGAGCAACTGGCGTGCAGTGTGATCAGTGCTTTAAACAACCCCTGTATAGTCCATTGAATTCTACTTCAGGGAGGAAATATACCCGTTTTATCACAGAGAAGCCAGGATCAGAGAGCACAGCAATGCTCCAAGGTCGCACAGCTAGTAAGTGCTGGAGCTAGGGCTTGGTCCATCTCATGGGACCTGGAACCTGGTGGGCCCAGTACTGCCACAGCCTCTCCTCTCCCTGCTGGAACCACGGAAGTCCCAGACACTAGCAGGTGCTCCCATGGGAGACACAAAACCCTAGCCTGGCCCACACACAGGGTTGAGTATCCAGCAGCAGGTGGCCCAAGAAGGGAGCAGGGGCATCAGTGGAGGGTATGGTGGGGCCCCTAAGGACAGAGATGCAGCTCCATGCAGAGTGCTCATGGCTGCAGGCAGGTAGCTGGGTTCACTGCCTGACGAGGCCTGGCTGCGTCGCTGAGGACTCTCATTAAAAATCAAATTGGCCTTGAATTGTGGGAGTAACACTTTTTATTCTGATTTGAGCTTTACAAATTAGATTTCATAGGCCATTTTAATCAGCTCTGTGTGGTGGATTTTTTCCTCTCTCTCTCTCTCCCTGTCTCTTCAAGTTTTCCTTTGTAATTAGACTGTTTCTGGCACCAAAATAAGAGAGAAAAGGGAGGAAGGGATGAGAGGAGAGGAGGGAGAGAGCAGGAGAGGAAGAAGGGAGTGGGGGAGGAAGAAAGGCGGGCAAGAAGTAGACGAAAAAGAGGAGGAAGAAAGAAAGAGGATGACAAAGGGAGAAAGAAAGGGAGGGAGAGCGGACCCCTCCCCCAGGCCCTCCTCTCTAACGATGATTTCACAGTGCATTCTTTTATCTCAAAATCTTTCTGGGAAGGACAGTGTCAAAGCAGGCAAAGCCAAAGATTGTGCTATGGGAAAGAATTATCAGGTTGTCATCTGGGGAGCTGAAGGGGCCGTAATGAGAAGGCCCTAAAGCAAGTAGTGCTGAGCTCTCCCAAACGTCCCCTATTAAGAGTGGGTGACTGTCCCACGCGCCCTGCCCCCATCCTGCTTTCTCTTGGTGGGAGGATGGGAGACCCTGGGGGAGGCTACCTGAGAAGCAGAATGTGGGAGGTACCCCTGGGGGCAGTGGTGAGTCCTGGGCAGTTGCCGTGGAAACCAGGGTCTGGAGGACACTGGCCCCCATGCCAGTGGGGGAGCTCTGAGTGCTCTCAGTGCCACTTTGGAGGGTGTCAGAACCAGGAGTGGGGGCCAGGCGCAGATCCCCTGGAATAACTTGTGGGGTGGAGCAGGGCACGGGAGAGGGCCTAGAGTGCAGCAGAATCTCCCAGTCGGCTCGGAGCAGGCTCCGAGGTGCAGAACCCATGGCAACACCCTAAGGCTTCAGTGTTCAGGCTTTGTCTGTTGGGCTTGCTGTGGAAAGAATGTTTTTGCAGCGAGTGGGATTGAATATTCAGGATTGTCTCCAAAACCACCCACAAAATACAATGAGTAAGTTTTTTGGGGGTGGTGGTGGTATTATAAGTGACAATTTTTTTTAGTTCAGTTTTAATTTTTGTGCATCATGATTACTTTTTTCTTTTAAACCAGGTATGCTCCCTCAGATGGATATATTTTTTTCCTTGCAGTGCTGGGGCTGAAAGCCAGGCCCTCGTGCATGTTAGGCAAGCCCTCCACTGCTGAGTGGGAGTAAGAGTTACTGAGTATGTGGGGTACGCTGGAGTTGGGGCGCTGTGGGGAAGAGAAGGCAGAGGGGAGGACCTTGCTGTTCTCACCCAGGGTTCAGACCTCGAGGCCGTTCTTGCCAAGGGTTCTTGAGAGCACATTTGGAAGCCAGAGTTCAGTCACTGCAAAAGAAGCCTCCTTCCCCTTCTCCTTGCTCCCTGCTTTTTCTTATATCCACTTTCTTTCCTCCTCCAAAGATGTGAAATGTGAAAGAGCCTGGGATTATTTTTCATGACCTTGCGGAGGTGACCTTGCGAAGACATAGCTCCTGGAGGGCATTTGATTACCCTATGCACACTGACTGTGACTTGCCAGGAGGAGGCGCCCTGTGGCTGTATGAGAAGCAGGGGGCTTGGCCTGGAGGGTGCACCACACCCCTCATCCAACCTGGCCGTCACCATGACTGGTCCAGCGCAGAGAGGGCCTTTCGTCATCCCTCTACAGCTCTCAAACCTGTGCTTTCTTCTCCATTCCTCCTGCTACAACCCAAGCCCACAGCCTCATTGCCTAGGTTCTTCCAACAGACTCAGTGGCTTGTGTCACCATGTCCGGTACACACACAGTCCAGAGTTTTCTTGTCGAATCACCAGTCCCCTATGTCTCCCCCTTCCCAGGGGTGGACGGCTCCCTATAGTCTGTGGGACAACACTCCACCGCTGGTCCTGGGTCATGTGCTTTGTCATGGTCTGACTGGTTCCCGAGGGCTGCACAGCACCCCGGCTGGCTGCCACTGGTGTGACTGTCCCTTGATTTCTCTGCTCCATGGTCCTGGGGTGGTGTGTGTGTGTGTGCCCTCCTGCCTGGCCTGGTCTCCCTAAGCAGCCCCTCCACCATCCATGGCCCAGATCTCTTCCCAGGGAAGTTCTGGTGCTCAGAGGGGTCTTCATCTCTTTTTTTCTCCTCATCACACTTCCCTGTTATTTCTCGTTTGTATCTTCCTCGATTTCTCCAAACCTTTATTGAGCATTTCCCCCGTGTCCTATGCAAAGAAACAAAACTAAAGAAGAGCCCGTGTGTACCCTCCCAGAGAGCAGAAGCCTCAGCTGTCTCTTTCCCCAGCATCCCCAGGGCTTGGGCCAGTGTGTGAACATCCATCAGAGGTGCCTCTGTGCTGGCAGTGGACCTATTCTAGATTGTCCCCTGAAATCTGTGATGGCTGCAGAAAAATTGCTTTTGCATCCTAAACTACTGACCAGGCAGATATTGTGCTGAGCACACACACAGAAGGAGAGAGGTGACAAGTAAAGGGGAAGGGCCAGAGTCTCGAGGACCCTGGCTTTACCGGAGGAAAAAATTCACTGAACCATTCAGGGGAGGCCTGCTGGATGCCAGGGCCGGCTGTGTGAATGTACCAGCAATTCGTGTCAGTCATTCGTGCCCACCTTTTATAGGTGAACTAAGTGCTACAACTTGGTTCTCAAAGGTACACTAGAGGCCCTGACTTAACTTGGCGTGACGAGATTTTTTACTATGCCACAGTGTGAAAGAGACACACATACAGTAGTAACTGCACCATGACTCTACATTCGGAACTTTTCTTGGGCTAGCAATGTAGGGTCCAGTCTTCTTTCCTGACGCTGGCCAGTGGCGGCAAGCCACAGCTACAGGTAGCCACACGGCCACAAGGGGAAACAGCAGACACTACAGGGCTGTGGAGCTAAGCTGCGGTGCTCAGCCTGTTAGGGGGCTCACAATCATTTCCAGTTTAAGATATTTTCATCAGGGGTTTGTGGAGATGCCACCCCATGGTAAGTGGAAGCATCTATACTATAAATAATATTTTACTGTCATAAAATTTATAATAGTTAATTTGTGCTGAATTTCAAGCGTGTGATGAGAGCTTTACCTGGATTATTTTACTGCATTCTCCTGAGTCTTATGACATGGGTGCCACACCAGACCTGTGTGAAGATGAATCTGTCTGAGGCCCAGGGCACTGGCAGTGAGAAGGAACATCAGGCCCTGAACTCTGGAGCCTGTGCTACACCCTGAGCTAAGATTCTTATGTGGATCTTAGGAGGCAGGCTTTATGCCCCGGGAGCTCAGAGAACCTGCCTTAGCCCCCGTCTCCTGCTGCTGCCCTTGGCCAGTGCTGAAGGAGGGTGTGAACCAGCTCCCATCATTGGTTTTGTGTTGTCTTCAAGGACAAAGCCCTCTGGGTGGGTCAGAGCCACTGCCCAGCTTGGGGCACTTCTTGA